GAGAAAGAAATGAGCGAGGGTGGGGAGGAAAGTTCTTTAATTGTCTTTATAATATTTTATTGCATTTAATTTTTTTTTTAAACTTGGTGTTTTAAGAAAAAAGATTAAAAAAGTGAAATTTTTGGTTTTTTTCCAGATAAGATGAAAGACTCCCTTAATATTTATTGTTAAGAGTCTCCATCTTCACTCAGTCTCTTTTGCCACTGACACCAACAAAGGCTAAAGCCGCCTCCCTCCCTGTCCCAAGGCCATTTCCAAGGGCTCCAGACAGGTGCTAGCACATTGCCAAACAACTCCCAGGAAGGCTTGCCCAGACTGCAATGTTTTCATGCAAAGATTTGGATACATTTTCAAAATGCACAAATTTCAGCTCTGAGCACGACTGAAAGCTAGGCAGTCTACAACTGGTTGGCAAGCAGGTTGGTAAAGACTCATTTCAGCCTACTGGTGAGAAAATGAAAATGCATGGGCTCTATACCCAAACATTAGAGAGCATACATTCAATTTCAAATGCAATCAGAAATCCAGACCAAAAATCATTTTTTCAAGGGCACAGAAATAACAGAGTACAGAAATAAAACAATGCCATTGTCAATAAGTACTAATTATTCCATAAAGACAAATATTACCATTACACTAAGGATTATGCAATGAGTATGCTTCTAAGTATAGAGTAAGTTCAAAATCCCTCAAAAAGAAACCCCAACAAGTTCAAAGAGGCAAAATTATATAGCAAAATCATTTCAATTCTCTTTAGAGTACACTGATACTGTGACCAAGGGAGTCATGTATTGTAGCCCCGTGGCCAGAAGTGTGAATTTAGCTATTTGATAGAAGAATTAACTTGCTATGATGCCTTAAATGATTGTTCTTACCAATAAAACTTACTATTCAAAAACCATCATTATTTTAAACACTAAACAGATCAGACTATTACAATTCTTTGGACCACTGTTAGCTTTTATTAAGTTTCAAAATTAATAAAAGTCTAAAATTTGGACAGATTTGTGTCACTAAATGGCCTTCACTATTGTTCACAGAATCAAACCCTTAATTGATTAATGATCTCAGGGTGTCTATCGCCATCTAGTGAACAATCACTTCAATTACCACACCAGTCACTTGACGACTGAGTCTGTTTTCATGGTGGTTCAAAAAATGTGTCCACTTAGTGCTATCGACTTGCCCACTATCTTTTCTATGTCTCTCTACACATACATTGAGAACACACACAAATCCAGATGGTATTTACAAAGATTCACTTTTGAGTGCCTGTAAACTAAGTTTCCATGTTACTTCTCTGGAAACACTGACTTCAGATTTTTCAAATAACTTGCAACCTGTGAGGTCCCTCACACAATTCCTTAACTATTCACCAAATCCTCTAGCAAAGAGCAATTAAAAATCATAGAAGAGTTTAAGTGTGAAAGATCACAGCTGGGAAAAGACAATATTGATGTCCACTTGACACAACTGTTAGATTTTTATTACAAACCTGTTTTTAAAAGTACAATGAGTAATTACTCTGCATACTCTAGCACCCATAATACATTTGATTACAGAAATTATTAGGTCACCCGTGCCAAAGTTGCATGATTCTGACAAAATTGAGCACACACAAAATAAACTTAAAAATGAAAAGGGAGGGTAGCTTCAAAGCCTACCCAGACTGTGTAGTAATACATATTCAAATGCAAAATTTTATAATCTATTCAGATGGCATGCTACCAGGTATCTTTCTCATTAACTTCCACTTGAACCTTAACGTGATTTATCCTACAAGGATTTTAAAAGGAAACAACTTCTAGGCTCTTCGAGTTCTATATTATATTGTCCCCTCCATCTTATTACAAACAAACAAACAAAGATGAGTTTGATAAAGTTACAAAGGTATTCCAAAATCTCAGCAAACTGACTCTCATTTTACACTTCGCTCCTCCTACCTCTTTAATAATCAAGAGATGCTTGAAATCACAAAGGCCTGATAGCATATACAGAAGATGCTCGTAAGCCCAAAGACAGAGTATCACAATATTTCATTCCGCCAGTGCTAGTAATTATCACCAACACTTTAACAATCATTTTTATTTCAGGAAGTAATTTCTGTAAGTGGCTTTGAATCTTCTAGAATAAGATTACCAGGGAGCAACTGGATCATTATTATTTCTCATTAACTTCACAATACTGTAAAGGCCCACTTTCCACAGTGGTTGTGTTTAATTTATGGGAAGGAGCAAAGAGGAAGGAGAAAAGGGGAAAGGACAAACCAAGAATTTAAATCACATATGCTTTTCACTAGAGTTTTCTGAATTTTTTTTTGTTTTTTTAGTGGGGAGAGCAAGGATTTTTACAGTTTATTCATTAAGATTTGTTATTGTTATATTTTATACAACAGAAAAAATAAAAACTGAGTTTAAACACCCTATTAAAAATCCAGCTAAATGAAAATATTGCCCTTAAAGTACCATGGATTAGGGGAGTAGGGGAGATCACTGGACAAATTTGGGGCTTATCATTATCAACAGTGCCCTTTTAAGCTCGCAGATTTCTGAGGCAACACAGAAAATGTAACAACAGGGATTTCCCAACAGCAAGAGGCACTCTCCAAGGGAGTAAATTGTCAACTATTGCCTCTCGTGAGAAACTTAAGAGTAACCTTGATCCAATCTCAATAGTCAACCCATGTATTATCACTCAGTTGGGGCATAGTGAGTGCATTTCCTAATACAAAAATAAGATGGTATTCTATCAGAAGCCACTGGATACATATACAGAAATAAAATTTAAATAATTTTAAAGTAAACTTAGCCTAAGAAACTGAAAACATCCTTACCTCACTTCAACTAGCCCCTAAACCACTTATACCTTCTCATGTAAAAAAGGCCTATGTCTTGAAATGATTATCAAGAATGATGATCTTCCAGGAATAAGAGGCAGAATATAAAGCAGAGGCAGAGTCATGAAAGACACCCTGAGATGGGGCAGACAACCCTAACATAGTGAAAGCCTTACAATCAGGAAGATATAGATTCCAGCTCAAAATAGCCACTCGTTAGACTGTATCTCTCTGAGTTGATCCTCCTCACCTGCAAAATGGTAACGTTATTATCTCTATCGATGGATTCTTGGGGGGTTCTAATGAAATGCATGTGAAAGCTTCTCACATGTCGCTGGTGTCCCATCCATGTGCCACCTTCCTCACTGTGCCCTAACCAAGTCTCTGAGATAGGGCTGCCGACAGAAGAGCGGCTCTCAACTTCCTGTTTGTGTCCCGCCAGCTAGATGCGCTGTCCAGTATAGTAGACACTAGCCACATGTGGCTATTTACAGTTAATTTCATTTTCATTATAATTAAACAGAACTCAAAACCCAGTTCCTCAGTTAGCCAGCACGAGCCTGAGATTAAGTGCTCACACACCCACTATCAGATAGTGCAGATGAAGAACATTTTCAATATCTCAGTTCTATTGGACAGTGCTGGTCTAGATGCTGAAGCAGGGGTCAGCAAAATCTGTTATTCTGTAAAGAGCCAGAGAGTAAATATTTTAGGCTTTGTGGGCCACGCAGCTCTCTATCTTGACTACTCAACTCTGCTGTTGTAACCCAAAAGCAGCTATAGAAGACACATAAACGGTTAAGAGTAGACATGATCCACTAAAACTTTTATTTGCAAAATTAGACGGCAGGCTAGCTTCGGCCCACAAGCTGCAGTTTTCCAACCCCTGTTCTAAAGTATTCTGGGTCCAGATCTCCAATCAAATATTCTGCCCATACCACTAACTACCTTCTTAAGACTGATGGTCATAAATCCACTGACAGGAATCAAGGGTTTACCAGAGTTGAAAGTAATTAGTATTTAACGTAACTATTCTTTTACAAATTAAGAAAATCCCATGCTAAAGCAGATGAAGCTTATAGTGTTTACAAAGTGATGGTACCGCAAATCTGTTTGGTGTGTGGCCCACCATTCCAAAGCCAGTAACATTCAATCGATAACTCATCCTGATGTATTCCTGGACCTCTGGACTTCTACAGCCAGCATGCCTAGATCTCTACAAATCTCAAAGGTAACACAGCCAAGACAGAACTCCTAATCCCTCTCTCCCAGATATGTCCATCTCAGGGAATGGCTCCACTAGCTAATCAGCTAAAAGACCTAAAGGGAGGCATCCTCCTTGATCTCTTCCTTTCCCTGACTCTCTGACCTAATACACCAGCAAAGAAACTCTCTCTCATGTCACTCAGGTCTCATTCTTGTTATGTCCTAAAGAAGCCTTCCCTGACCAATCTAAACCAGCCACCTTAACATTCTCTACCCACCATTTTGTTAGCATTTCCGCACAGCATTTATTTCTACCACATTCTCTTAGTTTTGTATTTGTTTATTCACTTACTTACAGTCTGTTTTCCCAAACGATTCTCTCCCTGCCCCAAGTCCCCACCATATGCCCCGCTACAACCCCCTGCCCTAGGTAGAATGTGAGCCTCTAGATGCAGGGATCTCTTCTGTCTCGCTTGACACTCTACCCCCAGGACCTAGGACAATGTCTGGAACATAGGAGACACTCAATAAATACACACACACACACACACACACAAACACACACATATATATATATATATACATATATATAGTCACGGGATATAAAGTACAGCATAGGGAATATAATAAATGGTATAGTAACAGCTATATATGATGTCAGAGGGGTAGCAGACTTGGGGGAGTTATCACTTTGTGAGGGGTGTAAATGTCTAATCATTATGTTGTTTTGTACTCCTGAAACTAATATAATCAAAAAATTAAAATGAAAAAAATATTTGCTTAACCCAGAAATAACTAGTTAATTAATTAAAAAAAGAAAGCCTATCTGCCCCATACTTGTCCTAAAAGGGGATATTTGAAGCTGTATAACTAGGTAACAAGCTTGGCTCTCCCACACTATAACATGTATAGTTAAAAAATACTCCCATTTTTGAGATGTGAATGTTACACCATTTACCTCCCTTCCTTTGTATGTCACCAAAGCAGCCAGTTGTTTGGCGTAAAATCTGCTGTAGGAAAATCCCAGGCAGCCGTACATACTGTTTGCCGTGAGCTTCAAGGCCTTCTGTCGAATGTCATACTGCAGGCCACACGAGGACAAAAGACAAAGAATAATACTTGCAGATAAGTGCTTCAGCATTACATTACATGTCTTTCTAGATCACCAGTGAGGAGAAACCCTCAATATCCCTGAAAAAAGAACTCTTAACACACTCAACCTGTCCTTCAGGGCCATGATTCCCTGACCTCCCAGAAGCAAGTAAACATAGACCCCAAGCTCCCAAAGCCAGAAGGCTCTTGCTCAGACACAGCTTTGCAGATAGAGGCGCCTTCCATTCTGAGGCACTCTACCATTTTGCAATGGTTTTCTACTCACAAACGTAAAATAAGCACATGCGTTTGTCCATCATGTTCCAATCATTCCTAGATAATCAAATTCTAAGAGCTAAGACTGTCCCTCAGGTATCTCTTAGTGAAAAGATATACCTGAAGAACAAGGTCTGGATTTAAATCTTGCTGCTTCATTAGTTGTTTGACTTGCTTTCTCCGCTCGACCAGTTTCCGGATCTCTCTCGGCAAAATGCCCATTTCTAAGCTTGGATCTGGCAGCTCAGGGATTTGTTCTTGTTCTTCACCCTAACGAACAAACAAAAATTTCAGATAAATCAAACTTTCATTAAATAAATTTCTAAAATAATATTTGGTGGGAGCTTTACCCCATGATCACATCTTGAAAAGCTACTTTCTTTTCCGTAAAGGTCAACAATGCACGGGTGGTCAAGACAGGGCAAAAAGGGCTGCAGAACAAGTCAACACTGCCCTCTTTTCTCCCAATTCTATCAGCCTGTCATTCCCAGTATCTCCCGCCCCTCTAAGTATTGACAGATGTATATATCATTTACAGGGATGAATTTTTACACATGGTTCTCTCCTCTCTTCAACAAGATTGGGTAGGAACAAGTTTGGGGAAATTGCTTTTAAAATAAAAACACAAAGGGAGACCTCTAGGATTAAAAAAAAAGAAAAAACAGTAACTAAACTATTTTAAGTCATGTGCACTACCCAACAAAATGCTGTAGAATTTCTAAAACTAGGGAGAGTCATGGCAATTATTGTAGCTGTTTTAGACTAAAAAAAATACAAGTCTAAATAGTAAATCAGCACATTTCTTTCAGGTATTTGGAACACGTATTTAAATAGGCCATGACATTTCTAAAAATTAATGCATATATATTCCTTAGTATATATGTAGTGACTTTTATCTATAAATTGCTTTACACTCAGTAGAAGAATAGCAACATTTTAGAAAAGCAACCAGCAGTTTTCTTACATAAAAATTTACAGCAGGAAAAAGCAAGAGAAAGCATTAGACCATTTTTCACGGGATTCCATTAATTCCATTAACAGACTGCAAAGAAAAGCCAGGCACATTTGCCCTTTCAAAGGTTCAGAATTAAAAAATAAACCTCTTTGGCTTAAAATACGTCAAGTCAAAGCCATTTGATAGCCGAGCTTTTATAAAGTATCTGATTTTATAAAGCTCAATATCTTCAAATGAACAATCTTACAATAGAAACAGGGACCTATTGTTTTCCAATATAGCAAATGAAGAAAACAAACCTATTAAAGAGATCTTCGTATACATTCCAATTTATTTACAGCAACTATGAAGATCAGATAAAAAGTAAAATGAGGGCCGGCCGAGTGGCGTGTTGGTTAAGCGCTGGCTTGGGACGCCAGAGGGCCCCGGTTCGGATCCCACATATGAGGGCCAGTGACACTGCCCTCTACAGCTAAGATGCTGAACAACAGCTCAACCTGGAGCTGGGCTGCCTTGAGTCGCCGGCGATGGCATAGGCTGCAGCCCCTGTGGCAGTGGGCTGCCATGGGCTACCGTGTGTAGCCAGCAGCCAGCGTGAGCAGCCAGCAGCCGCAGTGAGCGGCCGTCCAGAAGCCAGCAACTGATCTGCCTCGCCAGGGAAGAGCGCAATGATGGTGCCAACTTGCGCCAGTGAAACAACGTCCTCCACAACTAGACTGAAGAACAAAAGGACAGCAACTTGTCTGTTCCCCTTCCCCAATTCCCCATCACTGTTCCCATCCCCCCAATTCCCCAATAAAAATCTTTAAAGAAACAAACAAAAAAGTAAAATGAAAGGATTTGGAGTCAGGAAATTTATAATCCACACCCAGCTCTACTGCCACTAGCTGTGTGGCACTAGCTGTTCCAAAGGCCAAATGAGGTTACTGCACAGGAAAAGGATATGGAACCCATAAATTGCTACATGTACAGTATTCCGTAGATGACCTTTAAGGTCCCTTCCAACTCTGAAACAATTCTATTATATATCCAGAATTCAAACTGGAAAGCTCAAATAAAATGGTGGGGGGCGCTGACACAGTAGCAGGTCACAGCCCAGAGAGTATAATTAATCAAATGCAGTCACTAACTTTTGGCGATGTCTACCCAATACCTTCTCTGTAAAATTATCCTCCAGTCCCATAGGAAGGCCCATCCTTAGCAGTCATATTTGTACTCAGTAAACACACTCCTGTGGTCCCAGCTGATGGGACTAGGCAGGCTCACGGATCTAGGCAAGCCTATAAGATTCTCTCTTCTGAGAATATGGAACTAGGACTAAAAAACAGCTCCCAAGCATGTGGTTGGAAACAAAAGATATAAATTCAGGGGCTGGAAGACAAGTAGACATCTTCTGCCACATGAACAAAGAAGCGGAGAAAAACAATACACATTGATAGTATGTTAATTTATGTCTTTTACTGCTAGAGAACAAAATCTAACCAAATTCCCTCCTGACAGTCTACTGTATAAGCTTCATATATAAATTATTAAGCCCTACATAAAACTGTTGACTGAATGATGGTTAGATTAAAATCCATGTGAGAGAAATCAAAAAGATATTTTTAAAAAGGCTGTTCAGTGAGTAGAATCATTAAGCAATGCTTTCACAGACAAAATTTAAAAGACTGAAAATAGCAAGTGCTGGAGAAGATGGGGAACAACTGGCACACACGGGCTGGTGGGAATGTAAAATGGTACAGCTACTTAGGAAAACAATTTCTATCAAGTTCCCACACAAACCAGCCAATTCACTCCCTAGGTAATGACCCGCTCCCCTGAAGGAAAGCACACGTCCACAAAAAGATCTGTACAAGAATCTTCACAGCAGCTTTGTTAGTAATAGTCGAAAACTGAAGACAATCCAAATGCTCATCTCAGGAGAATAAAGTGTAGAATATTCTTCAGCAATAAGGAAAGAACTATTGACAATGCAACAACATGGATGAATCTTAAAAACATTATGCTGAACAAAAAAGCCAGGCACAAAAGAGTACACACTGTATCACTCCATTTACATGAAGCTCTAGAACAGGCAAAATTAAGCTATGATGACAGAAGTCAGATAGTGGTTGACACATGGGAGAGGGGGCTGACTATGAAAAGGCATGTGTGACATACTAAAATTCATGGGATAAAGGTAAAGCAGTGCTTCTAGGAAAACTTATAGTTGTAAATATCTGTATTACAAGAGAAGATTTCAATCAATAACCTAACCTTCCACCTTAAGAAACTAGAAAAAGGGTAAACTAAATCAAAGAAAGCAGAAAAAAGGAAGTATCAATAATACAGATTAGAACAGAAATAAATGAAAAAAAGAACAAAAAAGCAATAAAGGAAATCAAGGAAACCAAAGTTTCTTCTTTGAAAAGATCAATAAAATTGACAAATTTTTGGCTATACCGACAAAGAAAAAAAGAAGACTCAGATTACTAAAATCAGGAATAAAAGAGGGAACATTATTACCGATCTTAAAGAAATAAAATGATTATAATGAACAACTTTATGCCAACAAATTAGATAACCTACATGAAATGAACAAATCCGTAGATAGACACAAACTACTGAAACTGACTCAAGGAGAAATAGAAAATCTGAAAAGACCTATAACAAGAGATTGAATTAGTAATCAAATAAGAAAAGTGTGGACCAGATAATTTCACTGGTGAATTCTACCGAATTAAATAATTGACATGAATCCAGACAAAGGCATAACAAGAAGACAACTTACACACCAACAGCCCTTATGAATTCAGACGAAAAAACTCAACAAAATACTAGCAAATTGAATCCAGCAACATACAAAAAGGATAATACACCCAAACCAAATGGAATTTATCCCAGGAATGCAGGTCAGTTCAATACCCTTTTCGTGATAAAAAACACTCAATAAACTAGGACAGAATGGAACTCCCTCAACTGATAAAGGCCATCTATGGAAAAGCCACAGTTAACATCATACTTAATGGTAAAAGACTGAATGCTTCCACCAAAGATCAGGAACCAGACAAGGGTCTCTCCTCTTGCTACTTCTATTCAACATTGTACTGGAGGTTCTAGTTAGGGCAATTAGGCAAGGAAAAGAAATAGAAGGCATCCAGATTGGAAAGGAAGAATTAAAATGATCTCTATTCACAGACGACATGATCCTGTATACAAAAAATTCTAAAGAATTCACAAAACTATTGGAACTAATAAACGAGTTCAGCAAGGCTGCAGGATACAAGATCTACAAAACTCAGTCATATTTCTATACACTAGCAATGAACAATCCAAAAATTAAATTAAGAAAATTCCACTTATAAAGCATCAGAAAGAAATATTTACAAATAAATTTAATTTAAAAGTGCAAGATTTGTACACTGAACACCAGAAAACATCACTGAAAGAAACTAAAGACCTAAATAAATGAAAAGATCCAATTTTCATAGATTGGAAGACTTAACATTGCTACGATGACAATATTCCTCAAATTGATCCACAGAACCAATAAATTCCAATCAAAATCCCAGCAGCCATTTTTGCCTAAATGACAAGATGATTCTAAAATAAACAAAATGTGACATAGGTCCATACGATGGAATATTATTCAGTAACAAAAAGGAATGAAGGACTAATACATGCTATGACATGGATGAATCTTGAAAAGAGTATGCTAAGTAAAATAAGCCAGACACAAAAGGTCACATATAATTCCGTTTATATGAAATGTCCAAAATACACAGATCTATAGAGGCAGAAAGATTCGTTGCTGCCTAGATCTGGGAGGGATGAAGGAATTGAGGCAAGTTACAAATAAAAGGTAGGGGGTTTCTTTCGGGAGTAATGAAAATACCCTATAATGAGCTATAGTGAAGGTTGCAGACCCTGTGGATACACTAACAGCCATTAAATTGCACACTTTAAGTGGATGAATTGTATGGTATGTGAATTACATTTCAATAAAGCTATTAAATTAAAACAGAATTAGTCTGAGTCTCCTTCTACCCAACCCTCCCCTTTCTCTGAACACTAAGGAAAGACATAATGTATCTTTTAAAAGCGGGAAATCTAAATGCTAACCCCTTTGATTCTCTTCCTTCTTTAAACACTATTTGTAATCTCAATTTCAAAAGCCCCCAGTTAAATACACACCTCTGTCACTTTCTGTGCCTCTGAAGCAACTCTTTGCACGGTTGTAAAACAAATGTTGAATTCCTGAATGATGGAAGGATATAAACTGTTGAAGTCCAGAAGCAAAATGAACTTATCATAAAAGCCTGCAATAAAAAAGCCACTTTACCAAAAGTGTTTTAAAAAACCAGATTTGTCAAAACATCACATTTTAAAAAACACACAAAAAAAACCACAAAACAAACAAAAAACATCACATTAGAAGTAACTATATTCTGAAACATATTAGAAATATACTATCCAGAGCTGTGAGGTAGACAAAAGGAAAAAACCGAGGCGAGTAGGTACCACTCCCTAAAAATGACTTGCATTAGAGTGAAAACTCAGGTCACAAAAGAAAAAAGAACTCCTCTGTCACCCTGAAATCAGCTACAAGTGATCCTTTCTCCAGCAGTCCCCAAAATAGATCATTATGATGGGCAAACACCTTCCCATATCAATTACATTAGGCAGATGTCATATCCATTTCAAAAACATGTTAACTTCTCCTTCAAGCATTCTCCCCCCACCACCTACCCTCCCACCTCCACCCCAAAATGTTTAGTGTTCTCTACCAGTGAGTGGTTACATATATATTTTACAATCACACCTTCACAGAATAAAATGGACAGCACACTTACCTGGATACAAACTGTGCTAAAATCAGACAAGAGATGTATACGCAAATATAAATGTCAGTAGTGGAACGATCCACCCTTTTCACTGGTAAAGGGTGAACAGAAAGCTACTATTTTTCTCTAGGACATTCACAAAGAGTGTTCTTCACCTTAAGAAGAAACTGAGTAAACGTAAATGTCCACTATGAAGACAATATTAACAATAGCAAATATATATTAATAGCTTACTCTGTGTCAGGCTCTATACTACACAATCGCTTCTATTGTTTAAATCCCTGTGTGGCAGAGCTTATTCTTATCCCCATTTTACAGAAGAGGAAACTGAGGCTTACAGAGATTAAACAGGAAGCCCAAGATCACACAGCCAGAATTCAATTCCAGACCTACCTAACACCAAGGGACTACTGATCTGTTTTATTATAACTAATAAAAAATGTTTCCTCTTTGTGAGGGGTGAAAAGTATAACTATTGCATTGTTTTGTACACCTGAAACTAACACAAAAAAAATGTTTCCTACTCAAGAGTTTAAATTACTTGATAAAATTCACAATAGGGCCGGCCGAGTGGCGCGCTGGTTAAGAACTGGCTTGGGACGCCAGAGGGCCTCGGTTCGGATCCCACATATGAGGGCCAGTGACACTGCCCTCCACAGCTAAGATGCTGAACAACAGCTCAACCTGGAGCTGGGCTGTCGTGAGTTGCCGGCAACGGCATAGGCTGCACTCCCTGTGGCAGTGGGTTGCCATGGGCTACCGTATGTAGCCAGCAGCCAGCGTGAGCAACCCTCCAGAAGCTGGCGACCGGTCTGCCTCAGCCGGGAAGAGTGCAATGATGGTGCCAACTTGGGCCAGTGAAGCTACGTCCTCCACCACTAGACTGAAGAACAAAAGGACAGCAACTTGTCTGTTCCCCTTCCCCCAATTCCCCATCACTGTTCCCATCCCCCCAGTTCCCCAATAAAAATCTTTAAAAAAAATTCACAATAATTCCTGAACAACATGAATACACTTGACACCACTCATCTGTACACTTAAAAATGGTTAAGATGGTAAAAAAAAAAGGTTCTTTCTACTCTGTGTACCACAAACATCTCCTTTGCTATTCATGACAAGAGGGAAACATTATTCTCCTGTTAAAGTTCAGGTTGGTGGTTACTGTCTGTACTTTCTTTAATTTTGCTGTCCAATTCAACTGGTCCTGGCAGGCTAGGCAGAGGAAGAGCCCAGCATCCAAAAGAGGGTGGAAGAAGACAAATAGCTGTACACTCGACTAGGAGTTGGCAAATTCTGTGCAGAGCACATCCAGCCTACCCACTGTGTATCACTCATGAGCTGAGAATAGTTTTAACATCTTTAAATGGTTGAAAAAATAAGAAGACAGTATTTCGTGATATATGAAAATTACACAAAAGTTAAATTTCGCTGTCTATAAATAAAGCTTTCTTGGAACGGCAAAAAAAAAGGATTCATATTAATTCATGCCAGGTGACTGCAAACAAGATTTTCACATGAACATAAGGCATAAAATAATGTTATAAGACCTATTTGCTAACCTACTAACTATAATTCAGGTCTTCTAGTTTCTCAAGCCTAGCTCTGCATTAATAAAATTCCTTAACACCAGGGGCAAACCAGTTGACTGTCCAGCCTTACCAACTTTAGGGTCCAATACCAAGCCTCCAGCATAAGCTGCTTTCTTCCGTCCTTTCTTGTATTTACTGGTATCTCCATCATTGTCTTCATCTTCATCTACCTAATATCGAATGGAAAGATAACCTCACCAGTCAGCAACTAATCAACTAATTAAGAAGTTTTATGATTCCCCCCCTTTTTCCAAAAGCAGTACACAATTCTAACAAACATTCTTTACATTTAGTTAGTGGACCTACCTGTGAGTAAGACAGTTATTGTAATATGTTCAAATGAATGCCAAGCATGGTAGTTATTGAAACAAAAACTATATCTCTGAGCTAATAAATATGCAACTTCTAATTTAAAATATTTCTGAATTCATAAACTTCATATTTTTAAATCAAGGAATACTAAAAATACCACTCTTCAAATTATGTAAAATTAGAGATTATAGAATCCTCTTAAATTCAAACTAATATTAATGATGTAAAAATACAAAATATCTCATAGATATTACCATTATTTTTGTTAATATAGACACCTTAAAATAAGTATATGTCCATATACTGGAAATTCATTCCCAAGTAGTTTATTAATGGGTAACATTCAATGCCTCAGCAGAAGTCAGATTTCTCTGTTAATATTCCCTATACCAATTTTGATAACATATGTAAAACAAGTAAATACAAGAATCTGAATCATTTTAGCATTAAATTCCCATTCTGAATCAATTACTATCAGTGCCCATAACACAGTAAATAAGCTAAATTTTGGTCCCAATGTGATGATGGCCACTTCATAAATCTGACTGTGGTGACTTTAATCCTACTAGTACATAAGAATGCAACAATGCAATACAAAAAGACTCACAGGTTTAAGAAAGTAAAAGATTTAACCGCCATGTAACTTTGGATAGGGCTAAGGTGGAGAAACATTTCCCCATCAGAGAGACCTAATGCCTCCCTCAAAGAATTTCATAGTGCTTAAGTAATTTTTATCTGTACAAAGAAAAGGAAAAAATGACCACACAAACGCAACAGAACAAACTTCACTTGGTTTCTACAGTATACAGGGGATTAATTACTTTGGAAGCAGATGTTATCACAACCAAAAAAGCTATATAGGTAATAAAAGGGGGGATAAGAAAAGGCAAAACAGTATACAATATTGGACCCACCAGTTTCTGCTGAGGTTTCCTGAAAATCTGCTTGTCAGGTACAATATAGTTGTTTTCATAAAATGCATGAAGCAACAAAAACTCATTACGCTCGGCTCGTCCACCCATCAGCGTCCTAGACTATTAAATAGAGTTTCTTTTTTAAATTTGAGCTCAAAATCACAGCAAACAAGAGCAACGTGGAATTGGTAAATTTAATCAGAGCACCTCCTTCAGAATCATTCCTCATAACAAGGGCTGTTTTTTTAAAAAGGTACTGAAATATTTCTAGCATTTTCTTTAAGCATTCTAGTTAAAAGGAGACAAAGAGAGCTTAAAATACTAACAACTTGGGCTATTTCTTTACTCCCAAATGGACCATTCCAGAAATGAGACACATCCAGATGTTAGAGATGATCCTTATATTCACCCACATTTCAACACGCTGCACCTGGTTTCCCTCCCCCTCCTCCCAGCCAGTTCTTCATTTTACAAAAGAAGCCCAGCTTTCAGAATACAAGTCACTCATTTTATAAGCATGCATTTGGACTCATTATCATATAACAACTACCCCAAGCAAACACTGAATCCAACAGGAAATGCTTTTTCCCCCTTTCTAAGTTAAATTTACCATAATGTTCCCAGCGATGTTAGTGATCTGCAATGCTAATGGCAGAACATTCAGCTCACACATGATCTGCAAAATGAACCTGGCATCTTTCCAGGTGTGTTCCAACAGGTACAACAGATGAGAAGGTTCACTGTACAGAAAAGTAAGAGTGAAACAGAATCAAGTAATGAAAAGAAACAATGACTACAACCAGAACCCCATAAAATATTACAAAAAATTTCTGGTATAAGTAACTTCAGAGCAACGGCACCTTGCCCTTGGAAACAATTTAAAATAACATTGGAGAGAAACTAGGAATTCATTCATACCATTGATCTCAAGGCCATTCCCCAAAACACAAAAAAATCCCACAAAGATAAAGGGAAGTTATGTGTTAACTACAACCTGAAAATGACCTAAATCCTTTCCCTCATTGCATTCGGTATGTATGTATCGCATGCCTACTAGGTGCCAGGCATTGTTCTAGATGCTGCCTGTAACCCAGGCAGACAAAAATTCCTGTCCTCATGGGGCTTGTGTCCTCATGGGGGAGACAGAGTATAAATAACAAATTAAATATATGGTATGTTACATAATGCAAAGCTAAGGGGGGGAATTAAGAAGCAATGGGAATATATGTCAGGAACAGAGACTGAATTTTCAGTTAGGAAACCAGGGAAGAGTTCAGAGAATAATTGGGTATCTGAGGGAAGAGGATTCCAGGCAGACAGAACAACACATTCAAAGGCACTGAGCTGAGTGCAAATCCGGCAGCTCTAGGACAAGGAAGGAGATCACTGGCCGCAACAGAGAGCATGATGGAGAGAACAGTAGCAGATAAGGACAGGGTTAATGGCAGAGAGACACCCTTGTAGGTCAAAAGTAGGACTTTGGTTTTTACTCTGAATGAAACAGGAAATCACCGGAAGATTTTGGGCAGAGTGCCATATCTGACCGAACTGGAGCAAGATAACTCTGGTTCCTAGTTTGAGAACAGACAGCAAGGGATCAAAGGGAAAAGCAAGACCAGTGAGGATCCTAATATAAGGCCCAGTCATCCAGGGCAAAAAGGGTGGGTCCAATGGAAGGGAAAAGAAGTGGTCAGATCCAGACCTATATTAAAGATAGAGCAGACAGGATTTCTTGATGGACCAAACACAGATGTCAGAGAGGAATCAAAGATCCCTCAGAGGTTTGGAGCCGAGGATGACTTTGGAGGTTTCCAGCAATACTAGAACAAAGAGTTTCCATTATTAAAGGAAAAACTACACAAGGAAGCTAGAGGAGAAGATCAGGAGCTCAGTTTTTGAACAAGTTCATTTGGAGGTTCATGTTATTAGACACCAAGTAGAACAGGCAGGACTTCAGGGGAGAGGTCTAAGCTGAAGACATGCAGGTGGGAGGAATCAGCACCCACAGGTAGTGAAATACCTGAGACTTGCTGAGATCACTTTAAGGGGAAGCGCAGTCAGAAAGAGAAGCAGTGCTCAGAAAGGACTCAGGAGGTATGGGCAGAAAACAAGGAGAAATGGCCCAAGGGGTATAAGAAACCTTATTTAAGAAATAATCAAGCACACACGTCACAGATTGTGTAAATTATACATACTGGGGGTGCCAAAAAAACATATACACATAAGTTGTATCATCTTTTGTTATGGGTATATATTATTACAATTTTAATACAGTTTTTTCCCCTCTTTAAATTTAAATACCATTTTTTGGCACCCTCTGTGTATATAGTCACAGGATGTGGAGTACAGCATAGGGAATAGTCAATGGTATAATAACAGTTATATATGATGTCAGATGGGTAGCAGATGGGGGGGTTATCACTTTGTGAGGGGTGTAAATGTCTAATCATTATGTTGTTTTCTACACCTGAAACTAATATAAAAAATAAAAGTAGGGCCGGCCGAGTGGCGCGATGGTTAAGAACTCGCTTGGGATGCCAGAGGGCCCCGGTTCGGATCCCACATATGAGGGCCAGTGACACTGCCCTCCGCAGCTGAGATGCTGAACAACAGCTCAACCTGGAGCTGGGCTGCCATGAGTCGCCGGCGACGGCGTGGGCTGCAGTCCCTGTGGCAGTGGATTGCCATGCATGGGCTACCGTGTGTGGCCAGCAGCCAGCGTGAGCGGCCAGCAGCCGCAGTGAGCGGCCGTCCAGAAGCCGGCGACTGATCTGCCTCGCCCGGGAAGAGCGCAGTGATGGTGCCAACTTGGGCCAGTGAAGCAACATCCTCCACAACTAGACTGAAGAACAAAACGACAGCAACTTGTCTGTTCCCCTTCCCCCAACTCCCCAGCACTGTTCCCATCCCCCCAATTCCCCAATAAAAAAATCTTTAAAAAAATAAAAATAAAAATAAAAATAAATAAAAGTAAATTTAAAAAAATAATCAAGCACAAAGTTTCAGTTATGCAAAATGATTACGTTCTAGAGATCTAATGTACAGCAATTTGACCAGAGTTAACAATACTGTATCCTATACTTGAAATTCACTAGAGGGTAAATCATAAATGTTCTTACCACACACAAAAAAATGATCGTGAGGTAATGGATATGTTAATTAGCCTGATTGTGGTGATTATTTTACAATGTATGCGTATACCAAACATCAAGCTGTATACCGTAAATAAATATTGGGTTGTCGAAAAAGTCATGACACATGTTTGCAACAGATGGCACTAGTTCATTTTTGGAAGTACTATAATCATTCACATCTATGTTATTGCTACGTCATTTGACAGCTGACGGTTTTAGCTTCATTCTAAAAAAAATTGAGCAATTTGGTTGAGTTTTGGAGATTTTACAAGTTGAAGATGGAAGGCAAAACTGTGCATTTTTGCCATATTTTACTGTTTTACTTCCATAAAGGGAAGAACGCATGTCAAGCTTCTGAAAAGTTGCATAAAGTTTACAGTGACAATGCTCTACAAGAACGTCAGTGCCAACGATGGTTCATGAAATTCCGTGCTGGTGATTTTTATCTCAACGACGTTCCTAGGTCAGGGAGTCCCACCGAGGTTGATGATGACAAAATAAAGGCATTGATCGAGTCAAACCCAAGTTACACGACACGAGAGATTGCAGAAACATTGAACATCCATCATTCAAGCATTTGCGACTACCTGAAGAAGCTGGGATACGTAAGCAAGCTCAATATTTGGGTTCCGCATAAACTCAAAGAAGTTCATTTGATGGCGCATATAAACATCTGCAATATGCTCATTAAACGTGAGGAAAATGATCCTTTTTTGAAGCGACTGATAACTGGTGATGAGAAGTGGGTTGTTTACAACAATGTGGTGCACAAACGGTCTTGGTTCCGACGTGATGATTCGCCTCAAACGACATTGAAAGCAGACATTCATCAGAGGAAGGTTGTGCTCTCAGCGTGGTGGGATTTTAAAGGTGTCATGTTTTTCGACCTCCTACCAAGGAACCAAACAATCAATTCGAATGTGTACTGTTGGCAATTGGACAGTTTGAATGAATCCATCATCCAGAAACGTCCAGACCTTGTTAATTATAAAAGAGTTGCGTTCCATCGCGACAACGTGAGACCACACACAAGTCTGATTACCAGTCAAAAATTATTGGAGCTTGGATGGGATGTGTTGCCACACCCACACCATACTCGCGTGGCCTTACGCCATCAGACTTCCACTTGTTTCGCTCTCTTCAAAACTCCTTGCGTGGTATAACGTTCAATTCAGATGAGGCTGTCAATCAGCACCTTGTTCAGTTTTTCACAAATAAAGACAGAGCCTTTTATGAACGAGGAATTATGAAGCTCACTGAAAGATGGCAAAAGGTTATCAAACAAAACGGGCAGTATATCATTGATTGATCTTTGTTCTTTATATAAATAAATGACCTTTGAAAAACATAGACAAAATACGTCATGACTTTTCTGACAACCCAATACAATGTTTATGTCACTTCTACCTCAATAAACTTGGAAAAAAGAAAAAAAGGGAGCACTATGTCTAAATAACTTAATGATTTCTCAGTCTTTATATTTCCAAAAATTTCCACTAATCCTGAATTAATGAACTACGGATGGAAACCTAAATATTACATCAACTTCCAAACCGCTCTTAGAAAACATCAAGATGGTGTTAAGTGAGGGAGATACAGATAAACTGATCCAATTAGAATAATTCAAGAGGCAAAACAGTTCAAATTATTCATGTAATAGAGATGGTGGTGCTGCCATGAAGACAGACAATTTTCTGCTCCATGGCACCACACACCTCTGTCCCCCTCCTGCGTAAGAACGATAATGGTGTCTTGCTGTTGCTAATTTCAAGACATATGCTGAAGCATCCAGGATCATACCTGTACATATTTCGTACATTTTCCATTGAGATTACAACCCTTTCCATTTTCAGAATCTGTTGAACAAGCTCAGACAAATGGTAGCTTTTACAACGCATCAATTCCTTTGCTGAAATTTCCACATCACAGATCATTCGGCCACAGGTAGCGTTTCTTTCACCAAATCCACTCCTGCCCTACAAGGCGAAGACAAAAAGCAAATCCAGAGAACATTTCGTTCTAAGGAAAAGCAGACTCTGAGAACATTTCATTCTAACTTGCTTTGAGGTTAGCCCAAAAATTACAATGATGAAACTCATGCTGCCATCCATCCATTCATTCAGTCATCAATCAAACATGTTTGAATAACACCATTCTAGGCATTCGGCATACAGCAATGAGCAAAACAGAAAAGATTCCTGATCTTATTTGAACTATACAATAAAAAATAGATATCATAAATAAGAAATGATACAGTTTTAGGAGGCAATAAGTATATAGAAAAGGGAAAAATAGAGCAGAGTAAGGAGAACAAGGAATTTGGGACAGCTGCATCTTAAGAGCAGGGGTAGTCAGGGCAGACCTCATGGAGAAGATGCCATATAAGGAAACCCTTCAAGAGGGTAAGCAATTAGTTAAGCAACTGTTCACATGAAGTATTATTAATGACTCTATCACCTCAGAGATAGGAATAAGGAAAGAGGCAAGAACAGTGGGCTCAATTCCAATCTATAGCAGCACAATCCTCTGGAGAGTATTATAAAAGGTACAGATTCCTAAGCTCTCTGATGAGGCAACATCCCCAGTTTATTTATAAGCTTTACATAAAATAAGATTTCAAGACTGAGCAGTATCAGGCTTAGGAAATGAAGGTGCTTCATAAAAAAAACCACCAAAATCTCCGTAAGTGAAGTAAGCATGTAGAATGAAAGTGTGTGGGCTTTAAGAGTCAGGTGGGCCTGGGTTCAAAATCTCAGTTCTTCCCCTTACTAGCTCTATGACCCTGAACAAGTTCTGTTACCCCTGTGAGAATGTACCAAAAAACTGGAGTTGCTGGGAGAGATAACTAACACAGAAGGCAATGAACAGGGAAAGCACTTAACCCCCTGCCTTCTTATCCATTCAGTGTCAGCTCCCTCCCATTCTTCGTTCGCATTGCCTTCCTAAGGATCACACTCAATGATTTTAGAACACTGCAGCTCTGCTCTAAGGGCTAGTGCTCCGGTGCTGCTGAAGTGGAGGTAGCATCCAAGTATATGTGCTGTCTCTAGATTCTAACAGCTGATCTGAAAAATCGCCAGGGGCTTTTACCGATAAAATGCTCGATTCAAAGGAAAAGATGCTTAGTGCCAAAGTTAGAATGTCCTGTCACAAGACAACCAATTCCTAGTCAAAGAAGCATATAAAAAGTCAAATAAAGAAGCAAGATTTTGAAAATTGTTATTACCCCAAGCTTTGGCATGTTGGATCGCTTCAGTCGACCTATCTTGGACCAGTAGGGAACTTTGCACACATTAATTCTCTGTAGTAAAACTTCTAGTTCAAACCCATAAATATTATGACCCTAGTCAGAAAAAGAAGGCAGTCAATAACATTATAACAAACACAAATTAGAGGATTTATCTTCATATGCATAGAATTTCTTTGCCCTTTCTTTTTCTGGTCTCTAATTGAAGGCATCATGAACTTACCTCCAACTGGGGTCCTTTCTTCTTCAGGAATTTATTCATCAGCAGCATTCATTAGCCTTGACATTCACAAGGCTGCTAAGCAGATTGCTGGAATAAACTTTATCTCATCCTAATTGATGCAAGGTTAATACGATGTCTTTTAATTTGCAGTTCAGGCCTCACAATCTCAGAGGCAAATGCAAATTTTAATGTCCATAATTTTTACATGATCAGTAAAAGCTGTATTCAAACAATCCCATTTTACTTCCTTATAAACCAACAACCTGTCTTGTGTTGTGTGGTCATTTACATAGACTTCTCAGAAAACTCAGGAACTGCATTTAGTTTCTTCCTAAAAAACTTAGCTCGAACACTACTGACTTAGACAATCAAATGTGCAACAAAATAAATATATAATACCACTTGATAGTTCAAATAAAAACCTTGTTAAAAAAAGGAAACAAAACTGTACTAAGTAGAAAATATCTCAAAAACGTAACCAAATTCTCCACGTCTATGATGATAATTTCCATCATGTGAATAATATGGTTCACTGCCTATGTTTATTAAAAAACAAGATGAAGTTTAAAATAAATCAGGTCAATAAATAGATTTATTGTTAATAATTATAGTTAAAAATATATATCACTACATATTTATGGCAGTTTTGCCTATTAAGAGACCCAAAGGAAGTGAGGATGTCTCATTTCCAAATTATGTCTGGAATTAGGGACTCAAACCCATGTCAGGATTCTCTCTTACATCAGTTCAGATTTCTCACTCCCAGACTTGGCTCTAACACCTATGGCAGGCCAGCCACCTTAGGCGCCATAACATATTCTTGGGGCTCAAGAGAGAGACTGCTAGTGGAGACTGGTTGAGAGCCTAGTGCTGAGCCAGACCCCACGGTAGGGCACTGTGGACAGAGTCTTCCTGGCACTTTCAAGATGGGTCCTGAAATATCAGAAGGGAAGTGGGTGCAGGGACACTGGTGACAACCTACAGGTTCTCGGTACTTTGGCTACACCATCATCAGGAAATGTGTCCAAGAGCAAAAATAAACATGAAGAAATCTATGGCAAACCTTTTTTTCAAGGCTTCAATGTAACCAAATTACCAATAACACATTTAAAATACAGGCATTTATAGCCTACTTTCCTCCAAAAAAAAAACAAAAGCACAATATAACTTGACTGATCTGTTAACCCAGAAAAAAAGTCAAAAGGAAGGACTCCTATGAAGAAGTCTACAAACTCAGGAAGGCCAGGGGAAACAAAATAACATGTTGCTCTGTGACTCTTAGGAATTGGGGCAAAAATTCAATGAACTATTACTTCTTTCTATCTTGTGGGAGCATACTCAGTTGTCAAGAGAAAAAAAGATTCCTAGCCCTGAGCTCTCAAAGAAAGATATCAAAGAGATCCACTGAGCTCATAAATTTTAAAATACTTCTATTTGGGGGACTGGCACCAAAGCAAGGGAAATAACTCTTGTGACCACTATACAGCTGGGCCACTAAGCCAACATTTTGGAGACACCAACAATTGACACTAGTTTACTTACTTATGGGCTGGTCTCTAAGTGTTAATAACTGCAGCAGCCTAAACTTCAACAATAATTCATGAGTTGTTTTTCAATTAGAAGAACAACACTATCTTGTAGTGGGCTGGGATTTTTCCCCCCTTTCTATTAGCAGAAAGTATAGCAATTCCCACCAGTCCACTGGGTCATTTTTACTCTGAAAAGATCCTTTGCCAATCAAGTCACAGTGTAAAGAACTAAGGGGTGAGCGAAGAGCTCTCCCACGACATGATCAAACATCTACTTACCACAATGATATCAGGGTCAATTTTGTGAACTTTTGCAAGGAAAAAACCTAGCAGTGTTCTTTCTGTTGCAGCAACCTCAACCTTCACATTCTGTTAGACAAAAAGAAACCAGTTATTTACTCTTAACTTGCAAGTATTATACGCTGGCTCCTTGTTTAAAAGAAACCATCCAGCTCCAAACTAAATGCAGCAATGAAATCTGTGATTCTAGGTTTTGCCTTAATAATTGCATAAAATCTCTGAGGAGCTCATTCTAGTAATAAGTGTGTGAATGAAGCAAAATTTTAAGTGTTGAGCACTATCAAGTGCAGAAATGTTCCCCCATAGGGACACGCTTGTACATCTGGACACATTTTATATATAGCACATGAATCACACAGTACCTACCAAAAACATTGCATAATTTCTTATATAATCCCTGGTAGACTTCACTGTTTATGGATTTACCACATTAAGAAGTCCCATGGATTGTATAAACGAATTTCAAATAGTAGTGTAAGAACCTATAAATAAGAAACTAAACTAAAAGCAAAACACACATTTCAGAATTACAAATGTCTTAAATATAAATAAAACCTATCTTCACACAAAAGGCTTCCACTTGGATTACTAACTATAAATCAGGTGTTCAAAAGATCCACTCTTATTAAGACTCTCTTAAAATGGAAGTGGATGGCTATGTTTTCTATAACCAGCTCAGCTAAAAAAGTATCAGTTTGACTCTAACAGAATTTTTCTAGGTCATTCTACTTGGATAGGTAATTCAGGGAACTTCACAAATAATAGCCTGGCCCAATAGTACTCCCAGGCTACTGGACTTCTCAAGCCAATTTGAAATAAGTGGAAACCTGACAAGGTTGCTAACTTTTAATTTTGTCAAGTGAGAACATTAAAAAAAGAAAACCTACAAATTTACCAACACCATTTCATAACAGAAACAACACACTCCACAAAAAGAAATACTTGATATTGAATATATTTACCTTTGTGAAAAATCTCACTACATTATCCAATTCCCCACCCATTTTATTAAAGACCCATGGAGCATACTGGGAGTTAACTTCTTCGTGGAGTATACTGGAAGTTTAGAGATCACTGATCCATTGGTGCAAGCCTCCTTTACCCTTTCCAATACATGTCTGCTTTAATATCCACATTGTTGCCAACTTCACTTGGCTTTTAAGGGGAGATGCAGCACTCTACCCTACACTTTCCTAAACCAGTAATCACATAATCATGCATGTTGGAAAAGCTTCCTATTAAACTAGCTAAAGGAGAATTTGAGTCTATCCATCTACTCAGACACTGCAGGATCCATTTTCAAGTGGTGAAACATTTAAAACATTGTTAAATAATGCTTCTAGTTTTGTATTTCTAATACATTTTTAATGAGTTAATGCTACACTCCAATCTACCAATAGGTCTAATTAATGAACATATAAAATAGCCTGTTTCTACTAATCCACAACATCCTCCTTTTATCTTTCTACACAAATAGATGCTCATATTTAAAGGGAATAAACAATGAGTTCTTTACCTTTTTCTTAATGATGTCACTGAAGCCATATGGAAAAATACAGTCCTTTGGTTTAGACACAACTGTAAGAAGGAAAAAAAATAAAATTTCCAACACCCATCTTAGCCAATTTCAAGTAGATATACACTTCATTTTTCTGAATGGAACCTGTCTTAAATGGAGAGAGTTAAGAGGATCAAGTATTTCCATTGGTCATGTTGGACCTCAAAAGAACAGCCAAAACAAACAATCCTAAAATTGGTAGGGAACCACAAAAGACCCCCAATAGCCAAAGCAATCTTAGGAAACAAAAAAACAGGAGGCATCACCCTCCCTGGTTTCAAACTATATTACAACGCTATAGTAATCAAAACAATATGCTATTAGCATAAAAACAAACATATAAATCAATGGAATGGAATCGAAAACACAGAAATAAACACACACACATGTGTACACATGCATAGTCAATTAATTTATGACAAAGGAGTCAAGAATAAATGGTGCTGAGAACACTGGACAGCCACATGCAAAAGAATGAAACTGGGGCCGGCCGAGTGGCGCGGTGCTTAAGAGCTGGCTTGGGACGCCAGAGGGCCCTGGTTCGGATCCCACATATCAGGGCAAGTGACACTGCCCTCTACAGCTAAGATGCTGAACAA